CCCCCCCCCCCCCCCCCCCCCCCCCCCCCCCCCCTTTCGCCCACTCCCTCCCACTTCTTTTAAAATTTGTAGATTTCAGCTGTTCCGTGCTTTCCATGGCTCGAAATGGCCATTGCTTGAGAACATTTGGTTCGGCCTATCAGCGGCCAAAAAATTTTTTTATCAATTTAACAACCCACTTCGGCCGCCTTACGTGGTACCGTCCATTTTTCATTCGGCTATCTAAGGCCCATACATTTCAACAGCACGATTTTTTCCCACCTCCTCCTGCCTCCCCATTTCATTGTTCCTTCGGTCTCCATCTTTTTTCATTTCCTTCTTCTCCCTTCCTTTTTCCTTCCTCTTCTTTCACCCCAAAAATATCACCTCACTACATCTAAAAGATAAAGGCAGTTTGCACCATAAAATATCACCTTAAACATGACGCCTGCGTACGATCCTGTTGGTCTGTTATTTCATTTTCCTTACGCACTGCAACCGTCATACTGATGAGATGCAGTCGCAGTATTGAGTTAAGACTTATATGAATTAATGGACCGAAACGTCTTATCTCACTCTCACCATTAACTTACACATTATTGCTTTCTCACTGACACTTTCATATCCCACCATCTGCTCTTCCTGAGTTGACCTAGAAACTGCAATCTACTTAGCCTTTTCTATTCTTTCAAGCTGATGAATGGGAGCTTTTGTTTACGTCATGAACGGCTAGTGGTAGTCGGCGGCTGTCATTGAAACAAGCAATTCAGCGCTTTTCTAACAAATGCCTAATAATATAATTTTCATGTACAGTTAAATTTTCAGGTGACAGAAGAAGTATCATTGGGTCGATGTAGATTATGTGGTCGAGTGCAGTGCACACGTTGTGGAAAGGAAGAGCATGGTCGGATATCCTGTGAAGAGTACGCGGTGCTGGCTGGCAATGCCGATGAATCAGTGCGCAAGTGGATGCGGTATGTTTCAAATGTGCAACTAGCTGATCCCCTTCCCTCCCCCATACTGTATATATTTGCTATATATATTTAAACGGGAGTTTTAGTTCTGAATAGTTTTTTTTTTCTCCATCTCACTCTCTCCTTTTTCCATTCATTCATTCTTCTAGCAAATTAGTTACATGTCTTTTCAATACGTGGCGGCTAAGGGGCTGTACTGACGATTCCCACCCGCATGCATAGTCCGGCC